AATTGGCATTTAAATCGGATTAGATTAGCATAAGACCCTAATCACCCCCCCTCTAGGGTCTAACAACAAAATCATGTAAATCGGGAAAAAAAACTCAAAAGTTAACATAGAAATCATGACATTAGAAAGAATAGGGTTTTTCTACGAGCAAGAACGAACATGAGAGCTAATTAAAGTAAAAGGGTTAGATTTCTTTTACCCATTTTTAAATAACCCATCATCTATATTTATACTTTAAAATTATCAATTTTAATCCAAAATCTTGAATCTTTTGTCATTTTTCGCAGTTCCTCAGACAAAAACATGTAAATCAAAAAGAAAAAACTCAAAATTTAAAGGAAAAATCATGGGGGTTTGAAAGAATAGTGTTTTCCTACGAGCAAGAATGAACATGAGAACTAAGTAAAACAAAAGGGTTAAAATTTTCCTCAACTTTTACAAAACCCATCATCAATACTAACATTAACCTAAATTTTCAATATTTTATCGTTTTCATACAATTTCTCATAAAAAAAATGTAAAACCAAACAAAAAAAACTCAAATTTTAACAGAAATGAAATCATGGGGGCCGAAAAAAATAGGTTTTCCTATCAGCGGGTCAATTTTTCTTACACCCATTTTGTGATAACCCATTGATACTATGAAACTAACAATATTAACTCTAAATTTTGAATCTTTTTTATTATTCCCTAGTTTTTTTGAGTATCTGAAAAAAAACAAAAAAAAATTTGGTACCTAAAGAAAGCTCATGCAAAGTTCTCGGCTTAAGATCCTCCATGCACGTGATATACAAGGCCGCAACACCTATTGCTTCTCTAGCAACAAATACTTCTCTGTTGTTTTAAGGGATAAAAAAGAGAAAAAAAGTATTATAAAGTGATCTTTTAAATGAAAGTGTATGTCCCATCCCGTAAAAAGATCAGTCATTTAAATAAAGAAATTCAAAAAAATTAAAGCCAAAAAAATTGAAAAAAAGAAGCAAAAGTTTTCTTCAAGAACAAAATTTGAAGACCCTTTTGAAACTAAAACATGCATATCGAGAAAAAAACCTCTAAACTTATGGGAACGGAAAGAATAAGTATTTTAGAAGCAAAACGGCTAATTTCTTTTCAGCTCAGATAACCCATCATCAATTCTTTGAAACCAACAAATTGAAGCTTAAATTCCGAAACTTTCATCGTCATTTTCCCCAGTTTCTTAGACTAAAACATGTAATAGGGGGGGCACTAAATTTAACAGAGAAATCATGGGGTTGGAAAGAATAGAGTTTTCCTAGTGCTGGAATGAACATGAGAACTAAGCGAATCGGTTTTCTAGAGCAAAAGGGTTGAAAAATGCACCCATTTTCATATACCCATCATCGATACCTTGAAACTAACAACATCAATACTTTAAAACTAATAATTTTAACCTACACAAAATATGTAAATCAGGAAAAAACCTCAAAAGTTAATAAAGAAATCATGGGATCGGAAAGAATAGGATTTTTCTACGACAAGAACGAACATGAGAACTAATTAAAGCAAAAGTGTTAACTTTCTTTCACACATTTTCATATAACCCATCACCAGTGCTTTATACTTTGAAACTAACAATTTTAATCCTAAAGTTTGAATCTTTCATCATGTTTCATAGTTCCTCAGACAAAAATATGTTAATCAAAAAGAATAAACTCAAATTTTAACATAAAAATCATGGGGTCGGAAAAGAATAGGGTTTTACTACGAGCAAGAACGAACATGAGAACCACGTAAAACAAAAGAGTTAAAATTTTCCACAATTTTCACAAAACCCATCATCAATACTAACATTAACCCTAGATTTAAATCCTTTATCGTTTTGACCCAGTTTCTCATTAAAACATGTAAAATCATACTCCCTTTAAAAGTACGAGTTCGGAAAAATCTTTCTATGACCAATATAACCCTTAGGTTTTTTTTAAATAATACATTATTATCCTAATCTATTCTAATTATCTTATCTTCTTTTAATTGGTAACCAAATAATTTATTCTATTCATAATGAGACTTAACATGTTATTGGATAAAATAGATATGTTTCATATAATTCAAATCTTCATAATGAGACTTAACATGTTATTGGATAAAATAGATATGTTTCATATAATTCAAATCCTTTACTTAGTTCAGTTCATAGAGAAATCTAAAAAACATATGCTAGCCAGTACCTAAAAGTTTTTAGACTTTGTAAAAAATATTCTCTAAATTTTTTAAATCAGAAAAATACCCCTACAAATTCAAAATTTTATTAAAGCATTTTAAAAATTATAAATTTTACTTATATCAATTCAGTGAGAAATCTGAAAAATATATGCTAACTAGAAACTAAAATTTTTTTGACTTTGGAGAAAATATTTGGTAAGTTTTAAAAATTACAAAAGCACCCCTAAAAATTTACAATTTATAAAAAACACATTGAAAATGTCAAACTTATAAACATATTAAAAACCTACAAATAACATGAATAACCCCCAAAAATTTATAAAATTTGCAATACATACTTTGAACTTTTTACAAATTACAAAATGAAACCCCCAAAATTATAAAATTTACAAAATCCTAATAATTTTTGACCTAGCAGTACATTATAAATATAGAAATTATAAATATCCCTTACATAATTTATAATTTATAGAAAATACCCTTAAAGTTTTAATAATTACAAACAATCCTTTAAATTTTAAAATTTATAAAAAAATCCTAAAATTTTCAAATTTATTAGTAAATTGAAAGCATATGAAGTAGTAATAGTCTATAAACAATTTACCATCTGTAGAAAATACATAT